CACGGTCTCTGACCCTCTGATTGCCTGATTGCCTGCACCTGCCCACCTGTGTTTCCTGCCTTTGTGATTACAAGCCCCACCCCCAATGTATTCAACCTGTGTCTCGTTAGTTTTCTGACCCATGTGTGCATTTAGTTCACCTCCTCCTTCTTCTTCCTGTTTGTGAAGGTACGTGCTCTTTGTTTCACTGCTGTTGTTTTTTGTTTTAGTTCAACTGTCTTTTTTGATGAGGTTGTTTTTTTGTTTTTTTTTGTTTATCCAAACTGTTGTGAGGTTCAGGGAACAACAGAGTAGTTTGTCTCACCTTTGTGTTTGTGTGTTTGCACAATCACTTAAACTTGTACGATTGTCTCCAGGAAAATGATTTTTCTTTGTTTGTAATTCGAGCGAATTACCTGAAATCACCCAGGCTGAATGTTTCATGGAAAGAGAACTCATGTCATGTTCGTACCGACTGAACTTTGTGAAAATGAAAGGTAATAAAGTACAAATCCTATCTCTCCGCCGTGTTTCCTGTCTCTCTGTGTGGCCTAATTGTCGGGGCGTTTGCGGACAAGGAAACTTAAGTGTTCCTTTTTTTTTTTCTCTATGATTTGTTTCAAACTGTTGCAATAGTGGTTTTTACTGATGGTTGTGAATCTCTTTGATTAAGTAGTCCTTTTTTAATTGTTACCTCTGCCATGATGTTAATGACCTGAACATGTTCTAAAAAAAGGCCAATAATTCCCTGTTAACGTTTAATCTAGGTTTTGTTAATTTTTAAATCTGTTTGATGTCTCACCTTGTCATCTGGTTTATTATAACCTGGTTGCTCTATCCAAGTGGGAATTCCACTGGGTACATGATGTCTAAATGCAGATAATTTTATATTTATATGTTGCTTATAATCAGACCAAATATGTGGGTTTTTTTACTTGTCCTTCTCAAATGTGTCTCTAGTCTCTTACATTATACTGTAAGAACAAATCTGTCTTGTCTTAGAATATTGTATTTACTTATTGTATTTGTTGTATTTGCGATGGGTCACATCGTCTATTGTCTCCTCCCCCGTCATCATTTTGGCCAATCCTGGCCATCACAGCTGCTGTGCCAGGTCTCTGGCTCCACACTATAAATAGATGGTTGTTTTCCCTCGCTGTCCTCCAAATTGTTAATGTTGCAGAAGTGGACTTTGCTCGTTTTGTTCCAGAACAGGACGTCACTGCAGCGTCCCTTCTCTGTGACATCAATGCTCAGCTGATCAGTGACATGATCACGGATTCAAACTGAGTCTTAAAAAAGAGGAGACAGCCATGACCAGATGATAATTAACAACATTAGTGATGGTCAGTGTCTGGAGCTTTGGGGAAGACAACTCATTGGGCGTGCACTGTCCACCATGTCATGTATTGACCGGTTGAGAACTGCATACAGTTGGATACCTCTATTAGTCTACTGCAGCTGTTGTTCAGGGCTTTAGGTCTTGTTTTATTAATACATGCAAATCGTTTTTATATGTCATAAAAAATACTTTTGGAGGGGGGTTCTCATGTGGACTCATTAGCAGTGGAGCAGCTGAATGTTAAAGGCAAACCCTGACTCTTAGTCAGAGGTCAGTCAACTCAAACGGTGGTGTTGATGAAACATTCGCACAATCAAGGGGTAATATCCGTTTATTGTGGTGTATGCTGTGTCTAACTGAGGTTAACCACAGCAGTCTAATGTCTAATGTGAGCGTCTGTGCATAATGTCAAGATAATGATATCAACAGAACGTGCGTGAACACCTTATTAGCTGGACAGTAGAAATGTCCCCGCTCTCTCCTGATCAATCACCTTCTCAGCAGTGGGCAGAGACGTCACACTGTTTTGAAGAGCGACTGTTGGTTACACCACTTACAGGGTCACAGTAAACAAAAACACAGGAAACGGTCGATGTGCCTCTCCTCTGTTATCAAACCCTGATGTTGAATTTTCTGTGGCATTTCCCAAAAAAGTGCTACGATCAGTATTTTGCAGTGCGTTTATACTTTTTACAGTATTTGTCAAAGACAAATGCGTACCATCCAGGACGGATGCCCCAGCACTGGTACTGGTATTGATGACAGTATCTGTACTGGTGCAGTACTAGTTTAATTTTTGGTTATACTCTGTACTGCACATTACTTCCCATGCCACCTGCTGTTTATAACACTGCCTTCCAACCCTGAGGTACTGCATCTGTCACAGTACTCAGTATTGGTCTGTACACAAATTAAAATCTTCTTTTACAATAAGAAAACTCAACTGTAAAGCTGAAAACGTTGTGGATTGATTTTCTGTGATTATCTTAGGAGACAGATTCACAGAGATGCCCCAAACCAAACACAATCTTTCCTCCTTTACATCCTTTTCGACTGTGATACAAACATTGTATTTATTGATGAAAACTACGCTCAACTTTTTTTTATCAGAACATGTTTTTTGGTCTACAGTTCAACGAGCAGACGTTTTGTGGGATCAATGATGACACCATGTCATTTTTTTGGAATGAATGGTGTCATGCCTTCACGAACACCTACTGCTGATCTATTCAGCGTTAGATGCAGGGCATTCTGGGAGTCAGATGTCACTGCAACTGCATCAGCATCTGAGCACAGCGTTAAACTGTTGGGACATAGAATTTTTCTTATATATTTTTTTTCTATATGAACAAACCTCCAGCTTGTGAAGAATTGAGTCACATAACCTGTATCACAGGGCAAGTATCACAGGTGTTGCCTTCACTGGCATCAGGTAACAGCTGGGCTGCTTATGTAACATGTGTGGGGTGGACTTCAAAGGCTGACATAACAGCCAGGACATTAGTTGACCTGACGTTATAAATATATTTGTATTAAAGTGTCGGTGTGTCCACCAGAAAGAGAGAGAGACGGAGACAGAGAGAGACAGAGAGACCAGCTTCCTTTTCTTTCTTTCAAGCTTCCCTCTCTGCCCTTTTTGCTCTCTGTGTGAGGCGGTGAAGCTGTTAGAGTTACGTAAAGGCGCCGGTCCTCTGACGTCTTGGGTCAAGCTTTTATGATTGCGCTGAAAAATGTTTCGCGGAAGAAGTAGAGCACTTAGGGCTAATGGTCTGAAAGTGTCTCTGGCGCATCTTTTGCCTTGTAAAGATAGAGTATTTGTCAGGGCTGTCAAACAATTGGCATTTTTCATCTAAATAATCACAGGCCAGTTGTGAATTAATCAACTTTAGTCAAAAATCAACTTCCCCAAATATGATGGAAAAGCTTTTTCTTCTGTGTGTTGCTGCAGCAGAAATGACAGCAGGTTGATGTACACCTGTTTTAATTACACTGTTGATCTATATATATATATATATATATGGTTATATGCACAATGTCAATAAAAATATCCAATAGTTGAGCAAGATTTTTAAACGTTGGATGCAAAAACCCAGTTCCTGCAGTATTGGTACCTAACAGCATGTGTATTGACCATACAGGTGAATGGTTGGTCTGTTGGTGTCAAGGGCACCTCATTATGACCTCATAATTGACTAAAATCTCAGCCTGTTTAGTTGAAGACAACGCTGATATATTGGCACGAATTGAAGAAAGACACAAAGTTCATTTTCAACAGCTCTGATTATCTTTTTTAAGCAAAAGTGAAGTGAAATTGGATAATTTTCCACGGCACAGTAATGATCATTCACGGCACAGTGAGTGGGAATCTCTGCTCTAAAACTACAGCAGTTTCGGGGGGCGTTCCTATTCAGCAGTGGTCAGTATCTATAGGTGAGGAGGTAAAGGTTTGTTTTATTTGTCAAAATGTAATGGCTGAGGGGTGTTCCTCTGTCCTGATACATTGTAGGGAATGTTAAAACTTTACTGTTCTGTGATATTTAACAAATAATAATAAAAATACTTACAGTAATACAGTGTTATCTCATAGGATCGTGTCCAGCTTCTCTTACTCTCAGAAATGTGAATATTCTCTGTTCACCTGTAGATGTTTGGAGGTGAGTTCAGGGCCACACGTTCAGACAGACAGGTTTGTTTCTTTTATCTGTTCGTTGTAATTCATCGTATTCAGAAAATAACCATGTGTCCTAAAGAACTAAGGTCAGATAGGCCAGTCAAGGAGAACTTACTGAACCATCATGGGGTGAGAGTATGTGAGGTTCAAAACAAATGTTTAATGGCCTCTGATAACAGAGGCAGTCTGGAAATCTGAAAATACACTGTTCTAACACCATGTACTCCCTGCATTAAGATCTTGCAGCCATCATCTCTAAAAAGGCTGTAATTACCTTGATGGATCAAACTTGGAAAAAATAAAAAAGCTTCTGGGTCGTCTGTCGTCCCTCGTGCCAACTAAAAAAAAGGAAGAAAAATGTAAAGTGTCAGATCAGATCTTCAACTTGTATCATTTCCAGCGATGCTGTCTGTCTCTTATTTACAATCTGGTGTTTGACGTCACATAGGGGGCCCAGACAGCAGTTTGTTTGTGGCATATAATAAAAGAGATGACAGATCGCGTGTTGAGCACGATATACAGGTGGTCAGCAAACCAAGCCTGGACACAGGGCAGGGCTCTGATTAGCTGTGCAGCCTGAGGCCTTTGTATTGGAAAGCAGCAGCTCATGCTTCATTCAACAGTTACAGTTGCAAGATGGTTTGGCCTAACACGCAACGGCCCTGAGTCTCACGCCATGTAAACAGTGCATGGACTGCTGCTCACAACATACTAGATCAGGTGGTCTGTCCTGCAGTAGAAAAAATAACGTCAATATTATACATTTTTTTATTTATATTGTTTTGTCATTTATAATTATTATGTGAATTTCACCAACATGGTATGAATAAAAGGCTTCTTAAAAAACACAACAAGTCCATTACTAAAATATTTTTGATGCTGTTGGACATTTGTTTGTTGTTTACTTTATAAAATAATACTAAATATCAGACATGTTTGTCCACAACTATGTTTTCATATATTTCCAGTTGGGCAGTTAGTAAAATAACAAAAATACAACATTATTGTTTGTACTGAAAAAATAAGCTTTTTATTTATATTATAAAATATAAACCATGAAAGAGTATTGTGAGGCTGGAGCTGCTGAAGGAAGACATGATGATGGTTGTTGTACAAACACGTAATTTTGGGAGTTTTGAGTTTTTTGTCACATCCAAACATGACATCCAAACCACATTAACGTCTGACTGCAGTCTACAAATCCTCTTTGACGTGATAAAGAACCAGCACCTGCAAGATTACTGTTGTGCATGATGTGGATCGACTCCTACCTGAAACAAAGACGTATTAAACAACACTTACGCACCCGTACACCTCCAGACTGTTAATTGCACATCACGCTGTGACTGTGGAGCATGTTACTCGCATGTGGCAGTTCATGTGTGAAGGACTGGGGGTTGATGACGCCGCGTCAAAAACACTGTCTGTGTGTGTTTTATACGTCACTGCTGTTTGGCTACAGTTTCTCTTGGGTTTGTTGTCAAGGCTTGTGTTTCCTAACATCATGACTGATGTGAAATCGTCAAAAATGAAACTCTTCACTTTTCTTTCCTCCTGTCGGAGATTTTTCAGACGGTCTGACTCAACTGCGTCGAAGTACTATAATATTTTTACAGAGCAATCTCGACGCCAATTTTGTCATGTTTTTACAGGGTTGGTTTCATCACAGTAAAATGCAGCATCAGTGAATAGACTGGGGGAAAGAAAAAACATCTTTTATGTAGTTTTACTGCTTCTTGTTCAATCTCTTCTCCAAAATAGAGAACAAACAGTTTTCTTTACACATTAAAAATGAAGCTGCGTGTCCTCAAACAGGGTCACAGAATCTTTTTTTTCCTGCAGTTTGTATCCTTTTCACTAATTGATGAAGGTAAACAAGCTATAGAGGGAAATGAAGCTAATGTGTGTGTGAATAAACATGGCCCAAGTGGGCTGCAGCTTCTCTGTTTACTATTCTTCACGGCTCCGTTGCCAAGACAGTGCCGTGTGTTCTGGTCCGGCAACGAGCTCCGACACAAGCACAGTTCAAGGCAAAGGCCCGGGCTGTGGATGCACACATGGACACGGACAAAGATGGTACACAGACACTTTGTACTGTGCCTTGTGTTTGTGTTTTCTGAGAGTGACCATGGGCTGGTTCACAGGAGGGCAGTCTTTTGTGGATTTGTCCATGAGTTTCCTGAGACTTGGTTTTGTAAATGTTGATGTTTCTGTTCCTGTAAAAAAAATAAAAACATTAAATGACATAGTTTTGTGTCACATGTTAGGAAAGAAAATACATAATTTGTCTTTTTCAGTTTAAAGTAGTCTGACAAATCATTCTTAATGCTTAACTTTTTAACAACTTTTAAACATACAATAAAAAATTACTTTTTCACTACATATGGCCAAGGCCCCCAAAGCATCTGGTCAGGAAACCCCTTTGCAAACATAGAGACAATGCTACGAACTATATTAACAAACATCAATCTTTAGAATGAATTTAGAATAGTTTTAGAATATATTTAGAATAGTATTTTCTTACTTTTGTTCTCTTTACAATAACTATTACAATTGCTGCATCTGTCATACGAAAAGCCTCCAGGTACCATTGGAAACTTGAGAACCCGACGATTATCGCAGCTTATGTTGTTGTTGTACAGTTCAGGACAAATTATTATAAAAAAAAAAAAATCTTATCTACCCTCCAATTTACTGAGGCCCCTCTAGCACTCCCTGGTGGCGCTCACTTTGAAAACCACAGGAATAAAACACGTGAAAGACATTGAGGACGGTTTTGGGGTGGGGGGGTCTCTATGCAGTATTGTGAGAGTGCTTTTGTTCCTTAGGCTTTTGAGCACGTGTCTTGCTATAGCTACTATAGGAACACACTGGATTCATTACTGGCCAATGGTCAAGAGTATAGCACTGGTTCATTCCAACCTGGTTACACAAACCCATCGTTCAGTACTTGGACAGGCGGGCTTAAGTACACCTATCAGATTTCATCCTGGATGCCCTAGAGAGGGTTTAAAAAGGTCATGCATGTTGGTGAGATCCAGGTTTCAGCAGAAAATATGGTACATGCTCGGACTGTTATGGATATGGTGCAGAACATTGTTTTACAGAAGGAGGGGAATTGAGGGGGTGGTTATATGTCAATAAATGATAGGGATGCATGTTTTTTCTGTTGATTATTGAAATGCTTATTATATAGAATTAATAATATCTCCATGGACACATTTACAGATCAGATCCCTCAAAATTACGACGCAGCTGAATTGATGCAGGAAGTGTCGAGAAGCTGTGACGAAAGCCAAAACAAATAAAAAACAAAGAATGAAGTTTAGGTCTTCGGTGTAAAGCGTTTAGTCTGAAATCTCTTTCTAAGCAATTTTCACCTCCCATGCGCCTCCTGGGCCGATGCACAGGTGAGAAGATAAGGGTGAGGTGATAAATACTTAAGGTGAAAAGTGGATGAGCAAGGTTTGAGTCACAAATGCTGTTTTCTATCTTTAGAGCCTTGGTGGCTTCCATTGATTTCCTATTAGAGGAGAGTCAATAAAAATGGAAGTGAATGACTTCCACTGGCACCAAACTGTTGTTCTGTCTTTGACAGCGATTTGTATTTTTACACACCATCATTGTGACCAAGACGTGGTTGTTATGTTTATACAACCACGTATTACTCTGCAGTAATATTTGGAAACTTTTAGTTATTGGGCTAGGATAGTAATTACTGCAGTTTTAGTAGAATTGGTCCATGGTTAAAAAAAACATTCAATCTGCATTAAAAACATCACAAATAAAGTATAGATTGATTGTCAGGGGAAAGTGTAATATTTAAGTTTCTAGATTTTAGGTTTCATATCTAATATACTCCTGTGTATTACTTCATAGTCTCACACTACTTGCAGAAACAAATAAAGTTCTAACAAATAAGGGAGAAGTGGTGTCTCGTTTGTGATTAGACAAAAACGTGTGATTTGAATATAATTCGGTAATTTTCTATCAAATTAAAACAGTTTCGTTTGGGTTTTCGGTGGACGATGGGGTGGAAAGCGCTGACGCACAGAAACAGCCATAGAAACGTTATAATTTCGGCTCTGTAACCAGCTGCCCAAACTGGAGCCTGACGCATGACGCGCGGGGAGGCGCGGCCTCGTCCCTCAATAAATTTGCGGCGCGCGCTCCTCAGCCTTCAGATAACGAACGAGGGCAAACCTCACACTAAGCATACAAGGACTTACTGTCTGTGTCGGTTCTCAGTCATCCAGGTTTTGGAAAAGGACTTACAAGTATTTCTTGTTGTCGACCTTGCGGGTACAGCTGCTGCAGCCATGATTAAGAAAATGACACCGTCCGAGAACGAGTTCAACATACCGGCCAAGAACTGCCACCGGATGGTGATCCTGGGCTCCACCAAAGTTGGAAAGACAGCCATCATCTCTCGGTTTCTGAACGAGAGGTTCGAAGAGCAGTACACGCCGACTATTGAGGACTTCCACAGGAAATTCTACAGCATCAGGGGAGACGTTTACCAGTTGGACATTTTGGACACATCTGGAAATCACCCTTTCCCTGCAATGAGGAGACTCTCGATTCTTACCGGTGAGTTGAGCTTTATTTAAAAAAATAAAAAATAAACTCTCTAATTGATTATTCTTGTTCTTGAACAACTTATATCTGTATATTAAATGTGTTTGTTTATCTTTTTTCAAAAGGTGATGTCTTCATCCTGGTGTTCAGCCTGGATAACAGAGACTCCTTCCAGGAGGTGAAGCAGCTGAAGAGGCAGATCTTTGAGACCAAGTCATGCCTACGAAACAAAACCAAGGAGAACGTGGACGTTCCGGTGGTCATCTGCGGCAACAAGTGTGACAGAGACTTTTACCGAGAGGTGCAGGAGGAGGAGATCGAGCAGCTGGTCAGTGGAGACGAGCACTGCGCCTACTTTGAAATCTCAGCGAAGAAGAACACCAACGTGGACCAGATGTTTCAGAGTCTCTTCACCATGGCCAAGCTGCCCAACGAAATGAGTCCCGACCGACACTGCAAGGTTTCCCTGCAGTACTGCGAGGTTCTGCACAAAAAGTCCTTCAGAAACAAGAGGTGCAAAGACGGGAACGCGTACGGGATTGTGGCACCGTTTGCACGCAGACCCAGCGTGCACAGTGACTTGATGTACATTAAGGAGAAGACTGTTGGGGGCAGTCAGACCAAAGAGAAAGGCTGCATCATATGCTGACATGGTTGTGCAGTGTGCAAAAGACATTTAAAGAGACGGTGACGCCTGTAAACAGAGATCTTCAGGCAAAACTACTGTAGATTTCTGTGCCTGGACATTTGGTAGCTAATAGGCTTGTCCTCATGTATTAATACTGTAGATGCTCCTGTAAAAATGTCCTGCACCTATCAGACATTTGAGCAAACATGTTTACATTTTCACTTTTTATTTTTTAAACTTGGAACTATGAAGCCGAATGCAGTATGAACAAAGTTTTATTCCAGATGTATATTTATTGTCTATGTGAATCTTTTTGAAGAAAATAAAAAGTGTATTTTCATATATCAACTCTTATCCTCTTTGCCTTTTGTGTCCTTGGAACAATCTACATTACATTATTATTATTCCTTCCAACAATTTATTTAAACCACTAGCTTTCTGTTGTCAGGTTATTGAGAAATGCCGAGAGCACAGTGTGTATCGCCTCTTTTCACAGTTATAGCACCTTCAATGAGGTTTAGGATATAATGTGTGAAGAGTTTATCTAAATCTACAATAGTCACTATTAAACTTATAATTCCACTAGGACTGTTTAACCTAATCTAAGACCCACTTTGAATGTAAAATGTGCAGATTATTGAGGGAGCTACTATTACAAATATGCACAAAGAAATGGTCAAAGCAATAACACATCCCATGCCACACAGTACCCACAACTTTGTTTACGTATGGAGGCAATGTTTACCAAATAGACTCAAATCCTGCCGAAATCCTAAACTAATTGATTGTAGCATCAGCTGTAGCTTAATGTTTTAAATACTGTGATGGTGATGGTTTGATATACACAAATGAAAGCCTCAAACCAACAGTTCTCAGTTAAACCACTTTATTACAAACAAATATAACATAGGAAACATACATTAACAGCTGCAATGAATGCATCTCCACGCTGAAAAACATGAGCTGCTGCTCAGGAAAAAGTCTGCTGCTGGCTTCTTCGTTCTTCAGGAAACAGTTTACCTTTTTGTGAAAGCAACTAAACACAAAGTCTTTGTACAACCACAGTAGTCCAGTCTCCAGTGTCACGATGCTTTTGGAACATCAAACATGCACAGGCTTTTGTACTTTTGCAGCAGCTGGTTCTTGGTGCGCACTTGCTCCCGTAACGTAGCCAGTTGTTGCTGCTGCTCCACTGGACTGCAGTCTATCCCGGGCATGTTGGATATCTGTTCCCGAGCCTCCTGGATCTTTGCCTTCAGCTTTGTGAGTTCTTGGTGAACATCTTGGCTATCCTTGTCCATGCTTAAAAAAATAGGACAGTTATTGTGTATGTTGAAGCAGATCCAACTGACACCAAGTAGCTTTAGCTTCAGCCAACACAACTAGCTCGATAGTGTCTTTTACATGATTACTGTAGTAAATACAAAGATATAAATGGAGTAAAAGGCTATACCGACAGACATTTAATAACTTACCATTTGATAATGTCATGAACTAAAGGCAACAAAGAGCAATCCTCGCTCTCCTTCTCCAGCTTCGCCTGAGACACCGCCATAGTAAACCTTCTACGCGGCGCAGACTGATTGCATCATCAGTGACGCCTGCAACAGGAGACGTAATTTGAGTGTCAGGAGTTCCTAGAAATTATACTTATTTTCCCATTCACAAACCTGAAATATGTAAAACGTTTCACAGTTTAAGTTATACTCTATAGAAACACATGTTGGTCAGTTAAAGCACTGAACGTCATATCTTCGTGTGTTTTTTCTGACATTTAGGTAGCAGTTCTATTACAATCTCTCTTGTTGGGTAATTAACAGTTATTATTATGATTAGATTAGAATTATTTATAATGGTTGTAGGGATTCAAAACGTGTTTGTGATTCTGACTCTAATTTGGGATTTATTTTTTCAAATTTGGTATTTATATACAAATAATCTGTTAAATTGAACAAATTGCAATTCCAAAATGTATCACAGGTATTGTTTATTTTAGTAAAAAGTAAAGCTTGTATTCACATGTATTTTACCTATATTGCCATATTCATACATGTTATTTTAATGATTTGTATCACTCTATTTTGCAAAATACAATTTATTTCAATTATTTAAAGTTTATTTATGGATATATTGTATTATTTAAATATATTTTTAATGTCATCTGCTCTACTGTTCTATCCATTACACATCATTTTATATCCTCATCTAATTCCATTTGATTTCCACAATAACCCATATTCTACTGAAAATAGGTCACAGGGAGAACAAACAAACCATAACTTGATGGACCTGAATTCAACCTGCTGTGTCGCAGGGATTTAGAGTGCATCGTGGCAACCCATGTAAGTGTTACTGGGCATGATGACACCAATATGCTTGAATAAACTGAAATGAGTCACGACAGTCTTCTGTTATGAAGACCTGGTGAAAGATTTATTAATCATAGGATTTTATTCTAACGCACCGTTGCCTCTTCCTTGTGTGCACGCATCGCTGCGCCATGTTGAAATTTGCTTAATGAAACAGAATTAAAAGGAAAGCTAATATATTAAAACAGTCTATCTTTCTGAGCAACAGTAGACTGGCTGAGGGTAACCCACTGTACGTGTCTTTATTAATCAACATTGTTTTAATTCGTGAAAACAACTCTGGTGATTCATTTTTTTCTTCACTTGCTGTATCTTTTAATTTCTTCTTCTCGTCTGTGCCTGTCACAATTAATCCTGTGATTCAGAAGTCTCCGCCCTCTGCCTCCTCCTTGTTTGACTAACTGATAAGTCAGAGAGAGTTAATATTCATAAAGGCTGTAGTTTGCTCAGTTTGGTATTCTCCGGATTGCTTATCACTACCATATACTACAAATGAGAGGTCAGCAGCATCACATATTAGTATTGGTGTCTACAACCCACATTTAAAGTCATGGTGTGTCATCCATAGCCCACTGACCTACATATTATCAGAACTGAACTCCACTTCCGCACGCTGACCTCTGCAAAACGAAATCTGATTAAGCTGCACAACAGAAGTGAACAATCATGACACAGCCACTTAAGGCCTAATGGAAATCTAGTTTGCAGAGAGGTAACCACAACAACTGTGTGTTTTATAGCAGTTCAGTCAGGTGAACATGTATTTACTAACTGACTGATATTGACGCAAATGTATAGATGACACAGATCTGAACACGTGACAGGTTATGGAGGCCAGATCTTTTACTACAGCATATAGGCCAAAACTAAAGCTTACACCTACGGTTCATGAATTAAGTGAAGTATGTTATTCTGACCCAACAGTCTTGTCCTAGACAATATATCGCGCTATAGATTCTATTGTCACTGAGCTGAATTAACAGTAGTATCTGTGTCAGTAGAAAACAATGAGCTGTGAAGGTAAAAAAAACAAGGTTTCCTTCAGATAAAGATAGGGTTTGGTTTACTAATAGACCTGAGTGTGTTAATAAATACAAATTGAAGATACCATCTTTATTCCATCCATGTACTGTGTGCTACTCTGACACATTCACACTAACAAACAAACCAAGGAGAAGCTTATTTACGTAAATGTCATATCCATCCATATATCCCTCTGTCCATCCAACCGTTTATGCTCTAGTCTAAAGGGTCGTGTGTTTGTGTTGTTGAAATAATTCCTGCATCTTGTTTAATCTCTGATTTAATTGGTCGCGTCTGTGCCTAATTATCATCACAGGTCAAGCTCACGCTGATCGGTGTCTGTTGGCACCCTCCAATTTCACAAACCTGCCTGAACTTGAGCCTTGATAATCTACTGTTTTTCACAGGCGTCTCAGGTAACAGCTGGTGTTATTGCTGAGCCGCACACACGCTTTGAACAAACATTCTACTACCTGTTCAAATCCCTCATATTAAACACCATAGGAAAAAGACAATAGATGTTTGCACGAAGAATATTTTGTTTACGTAAGTTTAGTTTATGGCCAAGCATTAGAAAATGTCAATGGCATGATGATCCTAACTTGAAAGTAATAACTCTTTCAAAAATCATTAGGCAGTTTCAATTTATATGATCATAAAACAAAGAGAAAATGATGCAATGTTGTCATTAAGTGATTAGAAATGATGTTGAGGACAGTGTTGAGTATTAGATGAGAATTGATTTCCTGGAGGAAGACAAAATGTGAAGAACATCTTGCCTCGTTCAGGGGATTTTGTATATGAGGTAATATTCAATATGTAAAGGACAGGTTGTGAATGGCTCTTAGCTCGTCACTTCTCTGAGGATTTCATTAATTCATAACCAAATAAATAAACTGAAACAATGATATTTTATCTTACGGGAATTGTTGAGGGAGATTCAGAACAGAAGTGTTTTTGTTTCTAACACTCACAATGTTTTACATTATTCAGCAACATCTCATATTAGATATAATAGTTATAATTGCAGAATTGATGAAGAAATAAAGTTTCTTCATTTTGCGACCTTAAAAAGGTCGCAAAAGCATGACATTTATCAACATAGACTAACACTGCCCCCTGGTGTGTAAACTTGAAAATAAAATCCACAAACATGCATAAAAAATTCAGCCTTAGTAAAATGATAGGGATAAAGATATCTGTAAATATGATTGTGATAACTATAACATTCGATAACCAAAATATATAAATATAAATGATACAATTATGCTATGGCCTTTTATTATTATTATTTGTAATAATCATGATGCTGGTGATTTATAACATTAAGAGTCATTAAGTCAATCGATAGACAACACCTCTGTGAACAAAGACCTTAAAAAATCCAGTGCCCTTACCTACCCACACATTTTATTATAATCCAGTTTACGTGTATAAATTTGACACTAGTTAACCACTAGATGGCAGACTTTCATTAATGGTGCAAGTAGATCAAAGTTTGACTGATTATACTTTCAAGTATGGGGTTTATTTTAATATTACCACGTCGATGTAACTTTCTGTGCCGGAGAATGGCAATTAAAAGGGACCGTTGTGCAATTTTGGCTTGTAAAATTAAATAGAATTTCCCTTGTAGTTAGAATGACAGCATTATCAAAATATTGCCTGGGAACAAATTAAGCCAGTTATATCCAGATGTAACGCCGACAACGCCAATCATTTTATAAAAACAGCTTTGCACCATTCACAACAACATCGATGTGGAGTTTGAGCTTGGTTATTATTTCCGGAACAGCCTAGAAGGGAGGTGTTCTTTCAAATCTAAATCTGCAGCACAAGCCGTGGTTAAAAATGTATAATGCACCCGTGTGAGAGATGCTGGTGAATAAAACAAGCGTTCCCATAGAGCAGAACTCAACGTAGTGACGTAACCTCTTTATGTTAGCAAATCACGGTGTACGTTGGGCGGGCATTGTGAAGCTATAGTTTAGTGTTAGCAGGCTAACTAGAGAAAGAAAGCTAACTAACCGTGTGAGTGGAAGTGGAGCTAACGTGAAAGGAGTAGTCAACTGTCATAACAGCAGAGGGAACAGACATTTTAGTCTAGCGATATTGATGTTGGATGACTCCATAAACAAATGTGTAGCTCGTTCATGTAAGAGTGTGTTTGCCAGATGCCCGAGGAGCATTTTTGGATACTACTTCGATTGTCCCATTTCCAAACGGAAAGCATTTCTGGACGGACAGTTCGTGCTAGCTAGCTAAGTGAATCATCCAGGAGACCTTTCATTGTCACCCCAACACACAAAAAACTGAATGTTTTGTCTGACATGAGTCCGGCCGGGTGCTCCCATGTGAACGGTTATAAGGTGGACAATTGGAAACAAAATCTTCGAGTCATATACCAATGCTTTGTTTGGAGTGGTACTGCTGAGACCAGAAGACGCAAGGTAAAAACACAGGAACTGCATCGTTAGCACTAGATTAAAGAGTGAAATTAATTTAACAGTTGCCTGAATTGTGCGTGAGTGATGTCCCACATGAGGAACAACCGCTGAGCAAAGACTACGATATTTCGGTAACTACTCTGGCATTGTAGTCTCATCTTGCTTGAGTCACTTAGGTTATCACCGGTAAGTTAGCTTAGCAAGATATTACCCCAGAAACTGCGGCGACTTATTTCCTCAATTATAACATCAAAGATCAATTTGCCACAAGTTGTCACTGTAGCTTCTTTCAGGCCATTTCGTCTCAGGTCATTTAAGTGAGTTTTCTGAATTACTACTTTAGGGAGACCGTTCATACTAAGCTCTGTGATTAAAGTTGTTTTAGGAGGAGTTCACGGGCTAACATTACCACATCAAATGGACCTATTGTGTCTCTCCACGCCCGCACTCACTGGGTCCACAGATTAGCAAGTTCGCTGCTTGTTGTCCCACGGCAGGGTCTTTTCCTGCAGCAGAAACTTGGTTGCAGAAACGCCAGTTCATTACTTTCATTGTTAATTTCACTATAGCTCACCCCACATCTGGGCGACTTTCACAGCTCTGAATAGCTCTTAACAGAGTGAGGTCATTGGACTGTCTTTCACTTTCTCTCTCTTTGCCACCCCATCGCTTTCCTTTGTCAAATCAGAACATTAATTGTTTTGTGCCACACTGCTGATTTGGATAGAAATAGAAGCTTGTTCTTTCTTTTTTTTCAAATAATAGATTAGCTAATATGTGTAGGTCTTTTTTGTTTGTTGCAATAAAAACAAATTCTTATACATGTCACACATTTTTATGTCGTTGTGCTAAAATAGGTGCGTCAGAGTGATGCAGGATGGACAGAGCTGGTGAGTTAATAATTATTACCTACTCATCTTAATTGACAAACTATAGGTAGTTCAGTTGTGTACGCAGGCTTGCTTTCTCTTCTATTGCTCACTTACAGGTTTACCTTAGTGCCTTTTTATTAATGGACTGCCACATCTAGTCTGTATACAAGATGTGTCGAGGTGTAGTTAACAATTACCAAACCGTGGCTGCAGAGTACAACTTGGATAAAAAGACTGGGGGGTTGGTTAGCTTTGTAAGTAACTCCATATAATTAAGAATTATTTTATCAGTCTCACAGTCGTCCAATTCAATTTCATAAAAAATACTCCTACTCAGTCTACAATGTCAATACAAATCTGCCTTGGAGTCTTTGAGGTCTCTCTATTTGCTTTCAGACTTTCTTTAATTGGGCACATTATCAATTTCTTAAATATAAATCACATGATAAGAGATAACAAAGCACACATGTAAAATCACACCATGTTTAACAGCGGTGGTGTCATGTAACCAGCCATCTATTTGATTGATCAGACATTGGAGGATCTCTTGAACGTGTAGCATTTCCCCTGCCCCTTCTGAACTGGATCATCAGTCATCAAAATGTGTCATTTAATAAGGTGCATGTTGATGCTTTAAATTAAAATAATAATTAGCCTCTTGCAAAGTTGGAGGATTGTGTGAACATTGCAGCCTACCCCACACTACTGTTACATCATTCTTATATCATAGCAACTGCTGGACTGTAGCTTAGACAAAACAGTCAATAGCAATGTATTGCATACAAATGTTGTAGTGATATTGTTTGGTGTGAATATAGTGCCTTGATTCTCTAGAATTATGCATTTTTTCATCCTCAAACACTTTAGTACAAAGGAGCTGGTAATTGCCAGAAAATGTAGGCAAATTGTAGCTGGTGCTGTGGGTGACTCAGCTGCATCAAGAATATTCAGTTTAATTGTCAGTCCATGTCTTACCTAATCGTGGCTAGTCATCTGCTTTTTAAAGCAGCTCTTTTTGTGTTGACTTATTGTTTTCTACCTACCCTTATAGGCTCGGCATGCAGTCGAAGGCAGGCTGACTCTTTATGTTTGAGAACCCTCAAATCGTCTTAATGTATAACGGCTGCATCATTGCATTGCTCTTTTGTCAAAATGATTTCTTCCAAGGCCAACAGAGGCCCTTTCTCTGTCACGCATTTTGTTGTGGTTATAAAAAACCTTTTGTATACTTATTATGTCAAGGGTAGTACAGTACAACATAGAAATACTACTGGAGGTTTTGCTTTCCTGTGTTGCTACACTGCACAAACTCCCCAAATGTGAAGTGTACCAGTTGTCCTTGTCCGTTGTTACAGGAAAGATACAAATTAAAATACAATGTTGGATTTAAACCACTGGGTTTATTGGTCATCTGTTACCCACATTCCTTCCATTGCTTCTCCCTATTAACTTGTCATTGCAGGGTTTCCACTAGGATTTTTAAAACAACTATTTAAGGCATCTGTGTTATGAGTTTTATTTGTACTATGATTCTCACAGATGTATCTATGACAACCAGTGTTGGGAGTGTTACTTTAAAAAATGTATGTTGCTTTGTTTGTGGGAGGAGAAAGCAAATATTTTGTCAATAAAGTCATGACAGGAGCCACTGTTTAATATTCAACCCTATTAGTAGGATAATTTGGAGTCATTTATCTAATAATGTAAACTTACTTCTTTGTTGGAAGCAATGTTATTTCAGAGATAACGTGACACTGCTGTTAAGTACTGCGCTTTTTATAAACTTGACATCATGACTGTCCATAACCCTTTTAAAAACATGGTCATAGTTCATTCACCTTTGCCAAAGGCCAACATTAACAAGGAAAATGCGGGCCATTGCTGACACCGTTATTACCAAAATAAAGATGACTTCAGCAGAAGTAACCAATAAGTATAGCACTTAAACCTTATGAACTAGCTTGAGCTTGAGTTGAATAACACAAAAACCATGTCTTAGGCTCACTTACATTGTCTCTCAGTAAATGCATAACTGCATTACTAAGAAACTGCAAAATTGTCAACTATTTATAGGTTGTGTTTGTGACAGATTTGATTATATTGTGATGCTGTTTGAAGTATTTTACATAAGCAAGGCTGTTGTGCTGATTTTATTTTCTGTATATTTTAAGGAAGTTTCACACGTGTCTGGTGGCTGGTTGGAGAGAAGCTCTCATGTCCTTGCGAAGTTGACTGAATGGCTCCAACTAATTTTTTTGTAAACTGGCTTCATTTCAAAGGAGGAAGCATTGTTCTGATCTAGTTCCCAATTTAGCTTTTGAAGTGGTTGATTGTTTGAGTGTGTCATGTCACTGTAAGCCTCAGTTTGCTGTTGTTTGTACACTTCTGGGATGGTTCCCCTCTTAAATAGGATTCATGTTTCAGTAGATGTCCAATAAGGCTCTTCGCAGACATTTGAACAGAACGCTAACCACAGACTTTGTAGATGGGATTAAACATGCCCTTGCTTATAAGAGTTAAATTTATTTCTCTCTTAAGACCAATGTCAGCGCTATACATATTTTATATAATGTGAATGGCTGCTGTGGTGAGGTGAGGGTGTGAATATTCATGAAGGTCACAGTTATTTATTCTGTGTGCTTCTCCATCCAGCAGGAGGAACCTAATTTATTTTTGAAGTAAAAACCAGTGTTTAAGTCAGACTGGATGAAAACTGGCTGAAGTGAAAGCAAGGCAGGTTAGCTGAATTTTACAGCCATCACTGCTTTGAAATGCACTACTGTCACTTTAATTGAAGGAGTGCTGGTTGTGATAGAAGGGCTGACTGAACTCAACATGTCTTTTTCATATTGTATGGCTCTTATGATGAATCATGTATGATCAGAGGAACCATAACACCCCCCTTATCCCCTCAAGTTCAAACCTGCTCTGTGCTTGTGATGAGAGAAGATGAAAGAGAGAGATCCTTTGCTAGCAATTGATGGGACTTTTCAGAGGTAGTAAAGGTTACTACCTTTACTGTGTTTTGGTGTGCAAGGATTGACAAGTGTACTTCTTCTGAGATTTCTCTGCACATAAACATGTACACAGTAACTGGGGGCGCAGCTCATTTCACTAAGGCGCCTTATTCCTGGCCTGATCTCACTGTCACATCAGTCCCCATCACATCACATGGCTTCTTTCTGAGTCATCAGCATACGCTTGTAGCATCAAGATATATTCTTCCTCATACCCTTCACTTGTTCCTCATCCTTCCCACGCCTTTTCTTTCCTCTTTGTGCTCCCTTTTGCTTTTTTCCATCCTTAGTTAGCATACATTCTTCTAGCATTGGACAAATCCTCTCAACTTGATTTAAATTTGTTGTATTTGTAATTACAGTTGGCACTAAACCCTAAATGTACCTTAACACTAAAATATACCTTCTAAATGTCAGAGGTTTGCATCTGTGCGCTTAGATATTTTTAAATACGTAGCCAATTATATTGTCTCTACAACAACCAGTATGCTTCATGTCAAATGCTATTTCCTGGTTTTTATTCAAGCCACTGTCTTTCATGTCTTTCCTCATAGACCTCATCTAATGTGGCTTTTGGTCTTTGACTTGCTGTGACTGAGGCTCAGATGCTATGATGTCTGCAACCTCTTCCAAAGCCCTTGCATGTCTGATTTGTGTAGTCCTTTTATTTAGGATTGCTTCTCAGATTCTTGCTATTCTATTTTTACAGAACATCTGTTCTCTAACAAAATCTACCATTTGGGGAGAAATAGTGGATGGAATTTTGGAAATCTTAGACCTTACCAAGGTGTGGGATTCATTATTGATATTATTTATTTTATTGCTGTAAGCCTCCCGAGGGGACTCCCTATTCTTTGTTGTCATTGTTTGACAAAGATGATAGCTCTTTGACTTATTTTGCCGGTGCTGAATAGCCTCTGGAAAAACCAAATCACCGCCACAGTGCATGCTAGTCATGGTGGCATCAGCCAGCCAATGAGGCTGCTGTCCAGCCCTTCTTTAGTCTGGCCATCTGGCTAATGAGCTGTCAGTCACTCTCCAGGGGCTGACCAAGCCCAACACGGAGAGGCAATCAATCTCCTTGTGCGAACATGTAATTGTTCCCCATTGTTAAAGCCTTGGACTCAAGTGACGGGAACTAGGTAAAAAGGAATCACAATGTATGATAAAAATATGTGCCATTGGCTTATTATTTTAATCCAGGTATATTCTATTTCCTTACTGTACATGCAGTGCTTAATAATTTGACTTGGCTAATGTCACATTGTAGACGTTTTGTTTGGAGGAAAAATAAATATATATATATATATAAACATGTGATTTGAGTCTTAGGGGATGAGTCAGAAGCTATGTGCAGTGGGTGTCAGTCACATGCACAGTTCTTCTGTGTGGTTCCAGGGTTTGTCAAATGATCACACAGTCTTTTGTTATGTGGATCTAGACTGTTCACCATCTGTGCTGCCAAACACACATTACATTGATGTGAATTAATGTAATGACCTTCAAAAAACCTTCACCTGCCAATGTTATTTTTTTTGTGATTAAACTCTGAAGTACTCTAATTGTTTATAATCATAGAGCCTGTGTCTTTTGCTGCTCTACCTGTGGGTGGTGCTACAAACATGTTTAAATGCACCATTCATTGATTAATTGAGTTTACTTGCACAACATTGCTGTTTTATATAAATGTAACCCAGCGAACAGATTAATGAGTGTGGGGAGAACAGAACAACACTGAAGTTGGTGGTTTTACTTCCAGGTTTGTTTAGCATGTATACTTTTGTTGTTCAGTAGTGGTTATGTGGCGATATGCAAGATATAAATAGAGCAGAAAACAAGGTTGGTGAGGTTTCAATGGGGTGCTTATTATCTGACTATATCTGGCAGTTGTCAGCCCCCCCCCACCAATTAAAGAATGTATGTGTGATTACTTACAAGAGAAGTGTAAAGGTGTCAGTGAAGTCATCTGTCTTCTAATGCATATTAATTGTTGCAGTATGCATGTTTGTCGGTTTGTCGTCGTGGTTGTGTCTGTGTGAGAATTGCTTGTGTATATTTAGAGGCATGGACACACTTATGGGTGTAATGGAAGTGCGGTGACTCACTCTTCTCATATAGCTGCGCTCTCAATTCTGTATTGACTTTCTCCGTCTTTTCTTCGCAGCAGCAGGGGTTGGCTCAGTTATGGCCAGACCATTGTCCACATCATAATTGCAGTAGTCATTCTTTTCTTCCCCTCAGTTAAAGCTATTGCTTTAACTGATACAATATGACAAAATGCTTAAGGAATAATACTGTTGTATGGAATAACATAGGCGGAGAACCATAATGTTTTCTAATTGGCGTTCTTACATATGCCCCTTTGTGGCTAATACTGGGGTATTCATAGCTTTTCCCTGAGGCTTAGCTACACATTACTGAAAGCTTTATTGACCTCGCCAAGCACGTAATACTATCTCATGTAAATCTATTCAACCAAATGGAACATTCTGTTCATATGGGTTGTTTCCTTGGACGTTGGGCCTAGTTTGACTGTCCTGAAACGAGCACAAGCCAGATGGGTTGTAAAACCAGGTAGTTATAGTATGCTACGTATTCAACACTTGGCTGTGTTGTTGTGGCCAGTGGCTGATCAATAGCTGATCCAATACAACATTAAGAGCTGCGGGTGTATCGAGATGTAGGATTGCTGACACAGAAGAATAGTGGTACTGCGAGCAGTGGGTGTTGAAACAGAGATGGATTTTCTGCGCATTAAAGGGGGGTTAAGACGGGGGAGGGGGTGAACAAGGGTAAGGCGTGGCATTGGCATAGGTTACTTGTTTTTACTTGGTGTTATGCTGCAGACTTTCTCCAGTAATCAGGAGTATTTTGTTAAATTGTTGGATATTTCACAAAGGCGATACCGGTTTTAGCTGTACCGTTATTAGATTACACGGCCCCTTTAATTTCTCAGGTACCTTGTGTTTATATTCTCTTTGGAAGGTGTCAGGTTATACTATTGTATCGCCTGTGTATACAGTAGAGGTAAACGACAGTGAGGTAGCAGACTGTGATTTTTGAAATTATGTCCTGTTGCTGCAATCTGTGGACACTGTGGACAGTAGCCCTGCACCAAACCAGAAACGTTCTAACTGAAAAGTTACAAGTCTCTGAAGCCAATATTTCATGTTGTGTCTTTTCACCTTTGCTTCACACCTACTTTCCTTCTGTCGTCTCTGAGTGGGCGATTCATTGCATCAGGTCTGTTCCCTTCAAAGGCTTAGATTAGATCTGTTTTCTGTTCCCTTCTGTGGCTACATTTTTTTACACCCATAAAGCAGATGTGCTGAAAACTTTTGAGGCTTTTCAGTGTAGTAGGCTACACAGCCTTAATGCTCAGTTTAACAAGATTGGCCTTTAAAAGACAGTGACAATTTAAATGCATACCTGCGTTTGTTTGTTCTCACACAACTTAAGGCTCACATTTCCCTCCAGAATTTAAAGCATTGTTCACCACACCCTCCGTTGTCCCTCACCAGGGTCATTTTATCCTATTCCCTCTACACACATTTAACAGTATGTTTGTAAGAAACCATCTTATTAGAATAAGCCCTTTGAAGGATTTCCCTTTGTCCGAAGGGCCTACCATTTGCTTTGCTTGTTTTCTAAATATGTCAGTAATCCCTTAGTGCTAAAGTAAGTCCAATCACATACTGTATAGTCAGCTGAGCTGTAGTGTGTGTGCTTCCGTTCTGACAGATTCTGCCCAACTTGATCAAAATACGTTCCATGCATTTGAAATGTCTTGTTAACTTGTTAACTAGGTCACACTGCAAACACCCAGCCTCTACAGGATATTTGTTCTCACTGTACTGAATTCTGTATTTTTCCCCATGTTCTCTATTCCTTGTTCCTACCCCACAATCCTTACCCTGCCCTGGTTTTTCTGCAGGCCAAGTCGTGTGTCTGTCACATGTGTGGTGCCCACCTAAATCGACTTCACTCCTGCCTCTACTGTGTCTTTTTTGGTTGTTTTACGAAGAAACACATCCACGAACACGCAAAGAACAAGAGACACAATCTAGGTAAGTGACAAACTCATTGGGCCCTGAGAGACTCGGGAAACACACAAACTCTTAGCACGTCTAACTATTTGCACTCATTTTAAAGAAGCTCAGTAACAAAGTAGAGATGACGATGATGTAAGGCTAAAAAGATCAAGCATGGTTAACAGGTATAAAAGGAGCATCCACCAAAGGCAGTGTAGTAGCATTTATATTCGACTCATGGTTTGGTGCTACTGTGTCCCAGACTTGGAAATGTGTCTTTATTCAAAAAAAAAGCAGCGATCGTTAGATTCAGGAAGTCATGAGAAAACATCTACTTCAAAGATAAATGCTGCAGCTACGTATGGTTTCACAAACTGCCATTTACGTGTTTTGAATTAAGGTGGACAGTGACAACGGCATTGGTCCCTTCTTTGGCCTCTCCTTGATAAATTATGGTCGGAGTGCATTACCAAATTGCAGGTTTTATTGCAATACACTAGAAATGACTCTGCTGCAAATATACTCTCCCGCCTAATGTCCCAGGTTTATTTGCGTCGTATCCTCCCGCACATTTATATTCACTCTTGTGTTCGACTGCAGCATCGGCCATTATCAGTTAAGTATTACAGCATTACATTTTTTCTTCCTGATGCAGCAAAAGTGCACTAACTGCAGCACATCACATTCTGATGGAAACTCCTTAGCTCGTCAAATGTCATGTATTTAAGTTTCAGGAAAAATTGCCCTCATTCAGCAGTGAGGAGGTTTTAAACATTTCTAATCCACAGCTGCCTCAAACCCACAGCCCTATTAAGCCAGGAGAAAAACATCCACAAGGACAACAAATGTAGGGCAGTGTAGGAGAGGCTCCGCTGTGTCTCGGTTTGTGTCTGATTAGATGTATTTAATTTAATAGATTTCTACGGTTGGTACCACACAGACACATACACACACACACACCCATCCCAAGAGCATTGATACAGTGTTAATTAGCTTTGAATCTTCCACAGGACCTTCTCTGAAATTAGCACTGTATTCCTATGCACCTTCTGAGCTTCTCTGACTGCAACACTCCTACATGGCAGTTCTTCTTCTCAAAGAGTTTTAAATAGATTTTTTTATCACCTCTTCACAAACACCTCCATGCCACAGCATGACTCCTTTCTTTCTTTTGTTTCTCCATCCTTTTCTTGACCTTCAGTCATTTAAATAGAAAGTCAAATAGTTTGTTGTTATGATAAGTATTGAGAATTGATATTTCATCTTTTATATAATCTTTTTTTTTTTTACGTGGTTAAATGCCACAAAGGTTATGCTACGTTATCTTGCCTTGCTACCGACGTCTTTTAGTCTGTAAGATTTCAGGGAAATAATGTTTTTGTTTAATTCCCATATGTTTCTCAGTATGTTGAGTATGAAATATTAAGATAGTGGTTTAAAAACTGTATTTATCATTTTTTATTTATGAAATAACTGAGTAACAAGTACATCACAATCTAGTGTGGGTGATCAGTTTTAGACAGATGACCGCAATGTTAGCAATTTCCTCAAAATTATGGGCCACAGCTTTATCATTGTCTCATGTTCAAAGAGGAGCATCCTTTTTGTTCTATAGTGAATATATCGCTTCATATATGACCATGAAAGGATAAACAAAACGGGGGAAAAAAATGAAAATTGCTTTTTTTGTTGGTTTTCCAAAGGTATTTAACATGGTTCAATAGAAGTGACATAAAATACAACGACCAGATTGTCTACGTGATGTTGGCTCACTTTCTCAACTGTAGGCAGCGCCGAAAACAGAAAACTGTCCAGTTAAGCTAAAAATAGGTTGTCACGGCAACAGAGCTGAAGAATTGTTGCCGTGGAGTTTGAAAATGGAAGATGGTGTTGTGTTAGTTGAAAGCCCAAGTTGGGGTGGGGGTGGGAGACCAGTATACCTGTTCCATCACTGCATCTCCCACATCTCTTATTGTTCTGTGCTGGCAGTGTGATGCAAACATTGCAGTAAGTGGAAAATGCAAGTGGAGAGAACACTGGTCTTGATGACATTGGACTATAAAACCCATTGTGTGATACTGAGTTTAAAAAAAGGCCATTGTAATCCCTTATCCTACATTTCCATCTTCCCCTCCCCTCTTTTCTGCCTCCAGCAATAGACCTATTATATGGTGGAATATATTGTTTTGTGTGTCAAGACTATATATACGACAAAGACATGGAGCAGATTGCCAAAGAGGAGCAGAGGAAAGCCTGGAAATTGCAAGGTATAGCATTTTAGTTTGTCTAAAGACCTACTTCATCAATATCACTGGGTCCTTAGGTGGTCTCACCATTTCTGTCTTTGTTTTCAAAGGCATTGGGGAGAAATACACAACATGGGAGCCAACCAAGAGGGAGCTAGAGCTATTAAGACACAATCCAAAGCGAAGGAAAATCACTACAAACTGTACAATAGGTAAGTAGTTCTGCATGTATGTGCCAACTGGCAGGTTTACATTCACAAATATTGATGTGAGAATGAACAAAATTTACACAAGGCTGGTACACTTGGAATAATATATATATATATTTCATATAGATTATACAAACACTAATAATAATATTTATGAAATAATAATATTTATAACATGTTTCTGACTGTTTCTCATCACTCTGTCTGCCTTTAGCTTCACTGTATAAGTTGAAATACAGCCTGTGGAATGTATGAGGATTTAGCAAAAAATATTGGGACAAACTCTTTGGACCATATCTTGCAGCTGTACTCTGTACCTGTATTTCAGAAACAAGAGGACCAAGAACCAGCCTCTGTTACTCTTGTAATTTCTCAACTTTAATAGCAGAGAGAATTTTTATATCAATGCTTTGATGATTTTTTTTCCATTATGCCTCTGATATTTATTTGTTGATGACACTGTTCCTGTCTTTCTGTAATTGCCCGCCTCTGCATGTTTTTAAACAGCTTGGTTAGTAGCAGCAGTCGGACAGCACTCTTAGGTCCAGTCTAATGTGTTTAAGCCCTCACTGTGCGCTTTCTTCCAGAACCAACCCTCTTCCAGTTGGACAGGATCCAAGACCTTGCTGTGTCTCAACCGTTCTACTGGCTATTACTGGATTCTAGCTGTACACTCTCACTCTAAATGAATTAGTTTGCAGCTTTGGGATCTCTTCCAGGAAAACACACCAGTGTTGTTGGCAGGGCTAGCCAGTGCCATATTGTTAATTACCCGGCCAGCAACATGACAAATACCACAATAATAATAATTCAAATGTAAAAGTAAAGGTCTGTCTATAATTGGACTGATTACAAGGTGTACATTTTGGTTCCTTAATATTTTGTTGTTTTTTAATTGAGTAAGCGATGACAGCTAACGCATCTTTAGAAATAATGACTTTGGTGGTGAATCATTTCACATGCATTTCTTTCCACAGGAGTAAATCTGCTTTTCATTTCAGTCCCTGTCATTTTTTTTTTCTCACTCTTTATTTCCCCTCTCTCTTTCCTGCAGGTTTACGAGGTTTAATAAACCTCGGCAACACATGTTTCATGAACTGTATAGTTCAGGCCCTCACACACACACCACTGCTGCGGGACTTCTTTCTGTCGGACAGACACAAGTGTGAGATGCAATCAAACTCCTGTCTGGTGTGTGAGATGTCTCAGCTCTTTCAGGAGGTAAGGAGAAGTTTGTATCTGTGGATATTCTTACACAAAGTCAGTCTGCTAAATCTGGATGAAAAATGATTAATTAAATAGGACTTCCTTATGGAATAAACTTTAAACAGAGAGCTATCTTCTGCTCTAACAGTTTTCTCTACTAACAACTTATTAATGTGAGACTAATCAAATGATTAAATTAAGTGTTTTCGTCATCACTGTCAACTTGGCTGACTGCACTGTGCTAGGTGAGCTGGTCTGAAGCAAGCCGGGTGTCTCGCCTCAAATGCCAATACATGTTTACTGCTGACATGGTATTTTAAGCTTCAAGTGCTTTGGTGAAATGTATACGGCAGTGTGTGTGTGTGTGTGTGTGTACATGACGTGTATCAGCTGTGTATCAGCCCGAGGACGAGTTATAGAGCTTGAGTTATCCAGCATACAGCTCTTTACCTAAGAAGGTACACACTCCTTATCCTCTCTGAAATGTTTCTCCTCCAGCATCTATTAATTGGTCAACCATCTGGAAACTGCTCTTTATAAGACAGCGTGTTATTTCCCTCTGTCACTGCCCAATCAAGCCTTTAGTGACAAGTATAAATTGATGGTCTGGTTTCAGCTTCCTTTCAGCCTGGACACCTTCCCCAGACCTGCACTGCACTCAGTTCTGGTACTTTCATACCTCTATCTCGTGACCCTGAACTGAGCTGTCACTCACTTCTAATCCCATGGCAACACAGATAGAGGCTCTGCAGTGCTTGCTACACATCTCTTTGCACCTTGCATCTCGACTCTCTGTGGATGTTCCTACCACCGGGGTTTATTTTGTCAGGTGACATGTCGGGAAATGTATTTCTGTGTGACTATAGATAGAAGCCAATGAGAGTCAGGAAATTGACGGGATCACTGAAACAGACGTTTTGGTGTTGTTGGTTATGGTGGCAAAAAAGTGGAACATGACAGTGTGCCCACTAAGATACTGAAAAGTAGGCTAACTGCGTCTCCTCACCCACGCCTCCCTTTCCATTCTTTCTGACTCTTAGTTCTACTCGGGCCATCGTTCGCCCCACATTCCCTTCCGGCTGCTGCACCTGGTGTGGACTCACGCACGTCACCTCGCAGGCTACGAGCAGCAAGATGCCCACGAGTTCCTCATCGCAGCGCTAGATGTACTACACAGGCACTGCAAAGGGGACACCATCAGTAAGAAACACTTCTTACTGACAATATGAGGCCAGATTAAAAAGACTTCTTTGTTTTGGGATTTGTTTTTATGTCTTCTGTCTGGCTGCAGCACATTTGACTGAATGTGTCGTTAATGTGTCCAAATACAAAACACAGCCCAATAACCAAACACTACACTTCCTACCTGTAATCACTGTGAACCAACTGAAAGTGCTGTGTGTGTCAGGTGAACAGTAATCTCTGAAGGCAGTGCATGATGTCAATAGGCCCTGCTGCAGTGCAATGACAGGCTGACTCACCAAAATAAGACACCGCAGTGTGGCTGTCTCTGATAGGTTAAAAAGGGGGGAGGTCTGTAAAAATGCTCTAATAAAAATGGTGTGGTGAGAGATAAGAGTCAACAGACGACTTTAAAGGTGCTAAAGACTTTCACTCTTCTGTGTTGTTTCCAGGAGACGACAATGGTAAAAAGGCCAACAATCCAAACCACTGTAACTGCATCATTGACCAAATCTTCACAGGTGGACTGCAATCAGATGTTACCTGTCAGGTTTGCCAGTAAGTTTGTTTCTCAATATGTTGGAAATTTGCCATTTGGAAAAAAAAATCTAAATTAAAAGAGCAAAAAAACACACGTATTGATACAAGGGCACACAACAAGGCTTGTGTTCTTTCCATCACATGACCTACACCTCCATGTTTACTCATTCATCCATCCACCCTAAACCCACACTCCGTTGTCGTCCCTCCCCACAGCTGTGCTGATGAAAACTGACACAACCAGTTGTTTCCAAGTGGATAAAGCACTGGTTTGTGTCCACTCCACTGCACTTATTTGGCAATTTTGTCCCTGTGGAACCGATGTAAGGAGGGTTGTCTAGACAGCAGCACAGCTGAGGCATTGCCTGCTGCCTGCCCCTAAAGCTGTCCTGTCACATTAGTGGCAGCATGCTGCACTGAACTGCAAATCACCCTGCCCACACTCTGCAGGCAGGCATGGCTCACTGCTACACTACCTGCCCTCCACAATATAGAGGGCTGCAGAGTTAGAGCTTGGACAGAGTCTTCTCCTAAATAATAAAAAAAAAGTCAAATAGTAGTAACTGACTAAATATAAATACTCACCTCTCTGGTGAAGTTGGTTTCATTTTGGAAATAGCCCAGCACTGCTGTTAAACCCTTTTATATAATGATGGCATTGCATGACATCATGAGTATCATCATATTTTTTTCAGAAACACAATCCTGCCACAGTTCCTTTCATTTGACACCCACTGCATGTGAAGAAAACGCTGGGCATCACCGACGACACCATTAACAAAATGAAGCCGATGTCAGCAGAGAGAGCCGATAAGGCGTTAAACCTGTGGGCTATGACAACCTCACACGTTTTTTATTAAAAAACCAAGTGACAATCAGTGGGTATAGAAACATTAGTGTTGTGTACGTGGTTGTACTGTAAATTCTCATGTACATATAACATAAAAGACAGCTTCTTCAGAGCCAAACTAAAAAATGTTGTGACCATCAGTGTCATCAACCTTTTAGTTCATTATAAGTGACACACAAACCTTTAAATATCTCCTCTTTGCCATTCCTTTAGCGGTGTCTCCACGACGATAGATCCCTTCTGGGACATTAGTCTGGACCTGCCGGGCTCATCTACACCTTTTTGGCCTCTTAGTCCGGGAGGGGACGGCAGCACGGTCAACGGAGAGAGTCACCTGTCTGGATCCACCACACTCACAGACTGCTTACGGAGGTACACATTTGGACTATTTCTTTTTTCCTTAAAATCAACATCAATTTGATTTCTAAAATGGTGAGTCGTGACAATTTAAAGAACAACCTCAAAGCTGCAGCATTTTAATGGACTGTTTATTTATGTTTGTCCTTACCATCATTAAAATATTGATGTTGTTTTGAAATGTTTTTGTGTGGTCTCCGTCCGCCTTCTTTTTTTTTGCCTTGCTCCTTCCCCCATCCCCAGTCTTTTCCTCCTTTCTACTTATGTCAAATAAATGAGAATATGCACCAAATCACAGAACTGTGTCCATTCTGCAGGAAATGAGAACACGAATTGAGTTCATGACATTTTGAAAAGAAAGATGAATGTGCTCCTCTCTATTTCCCTTTTTCTGCTCATTTGTCTGCACACCATCCTTCACATTTACACGTTTTTGGGCATCAAATGCTCCTACTTGTAGTCAAATGAATTTCACTCAGCTTCCCGCTTCCATAAGGGTCATATGCCACCTGCTCATGCATACCAACCCTTTTACAACTGCATTTTATCATCGTCCTCCATCACCAGCTAGAAGAACAGGTGTAAACCCTCACATACATCCCATATATAACAGCCTTCCCTCTTGTTCTTATCTTAGTTCATTCCCCACTCAACCTAATTCCTTTTTCCCTATGTCCGCTTACATGTTCTCACCCCACCACTTCTCGTGCCTGTGAGTGTTTTTTTTTTACCACTGCAGCTCTGTACACACCCCTAGTTGCTGCAGCAAGTCTCTTAAAGGTACAGATCTGGTTTATGCTGTTTCCATGACGATGGAGGCGTTGACATTACTAGCACAGCTGGTTGTTCGTACTCGCATGTAAAGAGGCCGCACTCCAGGCAGACTGGATGGTGATAAATCACAGATATCCTCTGGTCAACTAGAGCCAGAGATCTGTCGCTAGACAGATGTAGTGATGTTTGCATTCAAAAAACACATTTGAGCCACACACGGAGGCCAATGGAGCCATCTTCATATTTTACACTCCATTGTGTTTTTTTAAATACCTGTGTTATTTGTTCTCACACACTGTTTTTTTCCTCTCTTTTTTTATACCAATTGCAGGTTTACACGGCCGGAGCATTTAGGAAGCAGTGCCAAAATCAAGTGCGGCGGTTGCCATAGTTACCAGGAATCCACCAAACAGCTGACAATGAAGAAGCTCCCCATCGTAGCATGTTTCCACCTTAAAGTGAGTCAGCTGGACAAAAAGAAAAGAAAAACATGCTCACTGCCAAATAGATCCTTGCACGGTAGCATTATCTATCAGTGTCTGATGGTTTGATTCTTTCAGGGGACATTAGTTTATTATCTTTTCACATTTAGTTAGATTTATTTTAGTAGATTCTGTCAGGAAAAAATCTTTTGTTAATTCATTAATCCTCCTATCCCTGCTATTGGTCTAGTGGAGACCTGATGTCTTAAATGTCTAATGAATTTCATATTGATTATCAGATGGGAGAGATTAAAACTGCATGTGGATATAGCTCTTTAAAGACAGCCCCTGGAACTGCTAGGGAACCCTAAATATGACATAATTCATGTTAAATTTATAATCCTCATCTCTTATATATTAGTGGCTTGTAATCCAACCGATCCAGCCCTGGTACTTAGTCCTCGGCCGTGACCCACAATATAAGAAACATTAATCTTTTATACCTTTTGCCCTGGGTTTGCAGTCCCATGTCCGAGTTATAATGTTGTGAATTAGCTTTTGCGCCCTCTGTCATTTGTTATTAAACTGAGTATATTTGTATTTGTGTCATTTACTAATCAGAAAATCTTAAAACATAGTATTTGAAAGTGAAGTCTGATGCTTTGTTGTCCATGTTTCTGGTTGTGTGTGTCTCATATGTCGTGTGTTACTTGTATATAAATATGTAAATTAAAAAAAATTCTTCTCCTCTCCTCCCCCCTGCTCTCCATTCCTCTCACCTCCCATCCCACTCCTCTGTCCAGCGGTTTGAGCACTCGGCTAAACTGCGGCGTAAGATCACTACATATGTTTCCTTCCCTCTAGAGTTGGACATGACACCATTCATGGCATCGAGGTGAGTCTTTAATTTAATACATCAAATACAGTGTTGACAGTGTGACCACTAGTCATGAACCTGAATATATGCAGTCTTTGGTAATAACCCCCCCCCCCAACCTTTATATAAATGTATCGATTAACATTTATTCTCCTGACTCTTTTATTTCTTATTTCTATCTGAATGAACTTACAACCTGTGTAAATACATATACATCAGTGTGAGCAGAGTGCAGCAGCAGTGATGCCCCACCCCTGGTTGTAGCATCCCTTCATTTCTGTTGAGAAACTGGAATGCCGTTAGTGATACATGCAGGGACGCTGTTCTCTTGCATAGAAAGAATAATCCTGCCCCCTAGTGGTTGAATCTGGTTTAGTATACTTCACGTTTTATAATAATGATCTTATTCTGTCACCTACAGCAAAGAGAGCAGAATGAACGGCCAGTATCAACAGACGGTTGATGTAATAAACAACGATAATAAGTAAGTACCTGAGGAAAACGGTTTGACAGGAACTGTGTTTCCACTAGTCCAACTGTTGACCGTGGTATTGGGGCATGTGTAACGCTACTGTTGAGCATTTTCATTCATGACAGTAAAAGTGTTTCGTTATACATGACATTGCCTGAAATGTCTGAATACTTTTCTTTCTTTCTATTTTTTGTAATATAAACAACACAAAAGGTTTTTTTGTTTTTTGTTTTTTAAAATAAATATGACTGTTTTGTAGGTATTCTTTGTTTGCGGTGGTGAACCACCAAGGCACATTAGAGAGTGGTCACTACACCAGCTTCATCCGCCAGCACAAAGACCAATGGTTTAAATGTGACGACGCCATAATCACTAAGGCCAGCATTAAAGATGTACTAGACAGTGAAGGGTAAGACGGACCCCAGGCGCAGCAGAACTACAGGGACGTTGATGGACATCTGATGTAACATCTGTCTTTCTGTTTGTCTCCACAGGTATCTCTTATTTTACCATAAACAGTTCCTGGAGTATGAGTAGTCTTTGTGACCATTATCTATAAAGAACCACTGCTTCTGACCAGGAGAGCCAAGGGACTGAAGGGCAGAATCAAACACAACTACACAAACCTACCTGAAACTCTTTTGACTGCCATTCTGACTGTCAGACATGGTGGACAAAAACAAAATATGAAAAAAAAAAGACGTGTGAAATCATGCAAGCTTTCAAAAGAAAAGAACAAACAAGCACTGAGCTACTTCTTGGCATCCACTTGACAAAACTGAATGGAGAAGAGAGGAGAGAAGAAGGGCGACCTGGTAGCCTCAGCCTCTCAGCCTCTGTCTGCCCTTTCTGCTGCTGGGGGAGAATCTGTGCGTCAACTAACGTGACAGTCAGTCAATCGGGACACTCATCGGGATTGATGTCAACAGTATTCTGACCCAACGCCCGATCACACGTACCACACAAACCTTCCATCTCTCTCCCATGGTGCTCTCGTCTCCACCGACCAAGCATTTAACCGCAGTCATGATGGAGGACACGTCGTCATATGCACTTGGGACTAAACGCCTAGGAAAAAAATAATAAAATCAAGGTATTATAAACTGTGCAAGAACAATTTTAAAGTTATGGTTAATATTCCTATCATTTGTGAATTTAGTTATGAAATACTGTATAAATCTAGTACACATCTATTTTTAAGAGCAAAGAAATCATGGGAGAGATGAGAGAGAGAAAACGCTGCCTTTGCCAGTTGCTAGGAAAAGCGCTGCCATGGAAACTAACAGATTTGGACCTGTGTGTGCTCATGTTCCATTATTTACTGTGTTGATTGTTTTATTTTTACGTCTGGTTGAGGGCAGGGAATATCTATTTTTTTAGCGACTCATTGAATTTTGAGATTTTTTTGTTTACTGTTCTTTTCACTGTTTTCTTATTTTTATTTTTGTTTATTTTTCAGTACAGTCGTATGTTCCTCGCTGTCTTGGTACTGGAAATGTTTTTGGACGTATTATACTTTCATTCTTGTGGAATTGTTGGTATAATGATGATGATGATGGTGATTAAATTGGCTCGTCCTTGCTGTTGATGAATTGTACGTTGAACGTGAGCTTTGGGTTTCAGACATACGCATAACCGCTGTCATTAATGTGGGAGAACCAGTCATGATGGAACCAACATCCATCTGTGCAGCACTGCATGTGACCGGCCTTATATGAATATGTGGAGAATTGCCCCTCAGTAATGCTTCGAGGCCCCGTTCCCCGTCATGATAGCTGCTCTGTCGTTTGCAGCAGGTGGACACGGGCCCCTGAGATTATGTAGGATAAAACACATTGCACGTATATTATGGGCATTGTGTTCCCACAGCGTGGCTCTGAATCAATCAGTGTTAATCCTCTCCATGGCAACCGTGTGGCTGGTGTAGTGTGTGTGTGTGCGCGTGTGTGCGTGTGTGTGTGTCGCGCCTCTGCAGTGCAGTAAACCCAGCGCTCTATTCAATCGGTATGCTGTCAGGTCGAGACTTAAGACAACGCACGTGAACATCAGGGTCTTGTGGTGTGTTTTGTTTGATTGTGTATGTGCAAAAAAAAAAAAAAAAAAAAGAAAAGCAGAATTAAAATTGGAAATAAAAAAAACCCCTCAATCCCTAATGTGTAAGACGACGGCCCTTCGTTGTAAAGAAACGCCACATTTGAACCACGAACCCTGGTTTTAGCTCCTCTGTGGATCGAAGTTGCACATGCGCATCCTTCTGTCTGCCGCAGAGCCTCGGCATCAGAACAAATCCGGGGCTCATTGAAACGTGTAATATCGAGGTATTGTGGCGTACGGAGGAGCAGTTAAGGCCACCCACGGACATTCAGGGACGCAGCTGGAACGGGAAGAGAAAGAGGGGGCGAGCCGTATTATACGTTTCAGTGATTAAACTCAGAACAAAGCTGGAGTGTGTACGTGCTGTTTTTGTGTCGTTCTTCCTTTAACACTTGCCTCCACCGGGACATTGAAGTTCACACAAGTGCTAAAGTATTTCTGAGCCGAACACCATCTCCGCTGGTCCTCCTTAAAACTGTCTGTTGTGCAGAAAATATAAATGCATGGACAAGAGGAAAACGATAGTTAAAATGTCAACGCTGAGTCCAGTGACACTTGGTTAGACTGCAACTTGGCTAGTTATGCATGTGATTATGGCGCCACTCTGTGGCCAAATGAAGGAGCACGACCAAGTCTGAAATTGTTTCAGACCTTTAGACAAAAATGTGATGAAGGAATATTATTTTTTTTTTCACAAAAATCTGCCTCATACAAAATGTTTCCACGCATTTATCCTAACTTACTGTGTATTTCTACAGAGTTTATTTCCACAACCTTAAAGGGAACACGTGGCCAAAATAAACTGGTGCATTTAATGTGTGACAAGTTGTTTTTATTTTTGAAAAATTACTTGTGACATGAACACATTAAAACATACATTACTAAACGTATTGTTGTAGTTGTATATGCAGTAAGTCATAACATTTTAATTTTCACCAAATTCAATCATTTTATTTATGTGTAACAACGGTAAACAAATGTCACTCCAACAAAGCTGTTGTACCATCTACTAAAGGACATTCAATTTAAGGTAATTCAACAAAATTTAAACTTTATACAGAAACAGGAGAGAACCAGAGTCTTTAAAAACAAAACACACACCAAAATACTTAATCACCGACGACAAAAAAATAAAGCATCCCTAATTTTCAAAAGTCTCAAATGTAGTCATGCATTTTTGTCTTTTTGTACCTATGAATACTAAATAGCAATAGTTACTGAGAGATAACAACTTTCTGTACTTTATGCTACTTTACCACAGTAAGTGTGATGTTTGGTATTTTCGACCAGTATGAGCAACATTTCACTGCAGACTAGTCTAAAAGGACAAAGAAAAAATGTCAACAAATAAGTAGGAATTAACACCTGTACTGCACCAACAACATGAAAAAGATTAGCCTGGTTTTTTGTTTGTTTGTTTGTTTTTTAGCAGGTCAACTGTTGACTCGGAGGAGGGACTCGACCCCAGTCCTTTATAGAAAAGGCGGGTGCATGAGCCCAAAGTAGTTGTTTACTAGAGAAATAAGTACAGCGATGTTGTACAGTATATTCAACTGCAACGTCTATCTTTACCACTAGATGCCGCTTATACACTTTGAGCTTTAAGTTAAGACAACAGTTTGGGAACGAATGTGTCAGACGAGTCCACAGTAACAATACTGTACATCAGAGTCTGTCTGAGAACTAACAGTTTTCTATGCTGCAGGTGCATCACATCCTTCAGTGATAATGAAATCAGACCATGTCCCTCAGTCACACAGACACACACACTAACACTTGTGAGGGTAAAGGTTGAATAACTGCTGCCGCGGTCAGCCATGTGACCTCAGCGGCACTTATGAGGCACAGGAGTACAGCGTGAACTGTGGACTCCTGCTGGAGCAGCACAGTGATGATGGTGATGATGATGATGATGATGATGATGATGATGATGATGATGATAGTGATGATAAAGGAACACCGGAGCCATTTAAGGCTAAGTGTTCTAGCCCTTCACAGTTTACAACACCTGGTGTCAGGGAGGGTGGGAGGGTAAGCAGACAGTGTTTTCCTACTGATAAACAGTGAGGGATGAGCAGCGCTCCCTGCTGTCCTGTTGTTGTTCTGACCCGGTCTAGAAAAGTCATTGAACGAATGACTCACTTTTAGCTGCTCTCTTCTAAACCATTGATCATTGGCACGTCATTTGTGGTTTGTTTTGTTTTTCTTTTTGAAAGCTCTTGTAATGTAACCCCCACTCCTCCATTTATCGATGAGTGAACCTAGAAAAAAAATCAACAGCTGTTTTGTTTTTTCCCTTATTATTCATCATAGTCAAAGTTTGACATACTTTGACATTGAATGAAAACTTGAGGGCAGTGCTCTGCACTGCTTCTCCACTGAACCATGCAGACTGTAGTGAAAAAACCTTTTAGTTACCTAAACGTAAGGATTATTAGATGGTATACCAAGATCACAGGCCAAGTCATGGTAACAAATAGTCAAATAGCAAAAAGTCACCACATAACACATTATATACAATTGTAGTTTCTAGCAGCACTTTGGTTAAAGGCCAGCTGGGTTTATTGACCATATGTGATATTATATTACTGTAATATCACCTGGTTAATGAAGATGGACACTATATTTTTACTTTAAATTACTCACATAAACTGGGGGCAAAGGCTTCGGATAAGGTAGAAAAAACAGACAGACAGAAAAGACACAGCTTATTTACAGTAAATGAAGTAAAAGACATAAGGAAACAGTTTTTATAAACAATCGTAATCTACAGCCATAACACAATGGAATGAGGTTGAAAGTTAGCCCAGGAATGTTTTTCAGCTTCACATATTTATAACATTATCACAAACAATAAGTATCACATGTCACAGGCAGATGTCTATATGGATGGATCAGGATTCGACTTTTTTAAGCTGTAAATTCCACTCAACTAATATTTCTCTCTAAGGCCACAAGCTCAGGATGAGTAAAACCGCCCAAGATTGTATTCTCTGACTTCAGGGCTGAGCTGAAACATACACTTAAAAACTTACCAAGGGCAGCGTGTCCAAATCTTTAACTGATAAAAGTTGATTTTTTTTTTTTTTGGCTTGGCTGAAGAACTGGATGAAACCAGTACAAACCAGTTACTGAATCCAGTAAATACTGTCACGCAGCTGTGGAAATTCAATTCAAATAATATATGAATCATTTTCTCCTTCAACTGCGTACACGTATTTACAATAAAGAGCAGAACATGTGTACGAACCTGCAGCACTGATGGTTAGAACTGATGTGCAGACAATCACTGAGACACAAAGGAACAGATCTGTCGAACAAACTGTCGTTCTCACTTGAACATTTTGTTTATTCATCACTGACGTCTCCTCTGCTGCGACCACGCTCAGCTGAACGCTGATCGTTGATGCGAGCGCCGTGCCTCCTGCCGCTCAGATGCTGGTCTGCAGGTCTCCATTCAGCAGAGTACTCTGAGTCTCCGTGGGGTCGTTCATCATGCGAGACTTATCCTGCCGGCTGTCACTGCGATCCACCTCGTCCAGCCCCCCCACCTTCTTCAGACAGAGAACATTCTGGAAACTCTTCTTGAAGTTCTCCGACAGGAAGGCGTAGAGGATCGGGTTGGCGCAGCTGTTGGCGTATCCCAACACCACCACAAAAGCGAAAGTGCTCCTCAGGATGGGGGTGGTGCTGATGGTGCCCGTCACCGAGGTGACGTTGAAGATGTAGAAAGGCAGCCAGCAGAAGACGAACACCGCCACCACAATGGAGACCATGCGGGTCACCTTCCTCTCCGAGCGTTTCCTCTTGGAGGAGCCCACACGGATGCCTGAGGACTTCACTTTGATGATGATGAACAAGTAGCAGAGGCAGATGACCATGAGGGGCAGGAAGAAGCCCACGACGAAGGTGTAGAACATGAACGCCGTGTAGTAGGCCTCTTGAGGCTCGGGCCACACGATGGTGCAGAAGCAGCCGTCGTGCTTGGTGATGATACCGCTGTAGATGACGATAGGCAGGTTGACCATCATGGACACGCCCCACACCGTCAGGTTGATGGTCTTGGCCATACGGGGTTTGCGCCACTTTGTGGACTTGATGGGATGCACCACGGCCAAGTAGCGGTCGATGCTCATGACCATCAGACAGAAGATGGAGGTGAACTGATTCAGGGAGTCAACGGTCATCACCACTCTGCAGAGAACCGGACCAAAAGGCCAGTGGACCAGGGCCAGCTGGATGGCGATGAACGGCAGGCCGAGCATGAAGAGCACGTCGGCGACGGCCAGGTTGAGGATGTAGATGTTGGTGACTGTCTTCATTTTGGCGTAACGCAGGATGACGTAGATGACCAGTGTGTTCCCACACAGCCCCACGGTGCAGACCAGGAAGTACATGCAGGTGATGACCACGCTGCTGATCTTGTTGTAGCTGTGGTCGGTGTAGTTTCCTGGGAGGTCGGAGTCGTTACCCTGCACAAAGCTGTCGTACAGGAGGTGGTCCGACAGATTGGGCGACGACGATGCGAAAATCCAGGAGTCCATGATGCTTGGGTTACTTTGTGTTACTCTCACTTTTTATCACATGCCACCTGTAAACACAGTAAAATGATGAAATGGTTAGCAGCGGTGGTTAGCAGCAGGTTCTTTTCCTTCTTCCTCTGAGTTTCAGCCCATGGTGTTCGTTGTTACGTCTTTTTTCTCCCTGATTCTCAGAGTCTAAAACCCTTTGTCTTCCTGATACTGTCTCCTGTGTTTCCCTATACAACATTGGTTCTCAAAGTAGGGGGCGCAGACCTATTGCAAGAGGGGTGCAGAGCAATGCAAATAATTTGAATGTGAATTTTCTTTTTAAATATATATATGCCAGAATGGAGTGATTGCACTCATTTCTTTTGTCCAGTTTCATAAAGTGTCGTTCAGTGGAGTTTTGTAGCAGGAGCTGTAAAAATGTCATGAACCACTGCCCCATGGTGATCACTTAACCATCCCCACCTGTGTTGTTTTTAACTCCGCCCTCTCCCTGTGTTAGCCTGTCTTTCCCCCTGATTCTCTGACTGTGTTTCTAGACCCTATAAAGATCTATAAATTGTCTTCTTCTTGACCCTGACCAAAAATGACCAGTTTAAGCATGACTTAAAATCACACACACGTCTCACAGATTAAACCCACCAACAAGACACTGTGTTTCAGTGCTGGAGTAATTATGAATCTTAGGCAAAGTTGGATATGTTTTTGGCAAAAAACAAACAAACAAGCAAAAAAAAACATTTAAAAGACAAAGTTGAACTCAGTGTTGTGAACGAACATTGTACATTTCTCCTCTGTAAAGCCATTAAACACTGCTGCTCAGAGGTCTTCTGGGGGAATTATGGATTTCACATTTATTTATCCCTGGAGCAAACTTGAGTGATGGCGTGTGTAAAATATGCCAATGTAGAATTGAAGGCAGTCCCTTCCACCTGAGGCTGCACCTTCCCTGTGTGTGTGTGTTGGGGGGGGGGGGGGGTGTTTTGGTTATGCTGGTACACCTACCAAGGGAAATCACTAAACACGGCCCATAGTCATATGGCTCCTGTGGGGAAATGTTTGCCCTTCACATGCAGAAAAATAATCAGCTGCCAATGGTTTCCCTGAGTTCCTTGCTGACATTTCAGACCCCCGTCCAATTTATTAGGGGGTGGGCACGGATGTAAATTAAGCCTAAGTAATTGAAGGAAGGCAATCACTCTGCCGTCCCGTTGGGCTGGGATTGGAGCACTGGTCACTTCCATCACACAGGTGCCAACCCGGTCTGGTGACTTAGTCTGGTGCCAGTTACTAGAGGAGATTTTCCAAATCCATTTCGGATCATTTTCCCAGTGACAGCAGCACAAACATGTCCACCGTCTCAACACTTCTGATTGGTTAAATGGGTGGATAAAATGTTTCTCCAAAGGTCACAACCCTGCGACGGTGCAGCTGTTGTGCGTTGTCTGAGGCAGGTGGATGAGGGGAACTTTGAATAATGAAACAGTTGGAAACACATTGAGAGATGCAGGTTGTTCACAATACATGAACAGGTGCGACATCACCAGTTTCCCCAGGAACAGGACGGCGGACCCAGACACGTCAGTTATTTATTTTTGGAAACGTTTTTACTCAAGAATTTTTAGTAATGCTGGCGTTCGGAGCATCAAAACACCAAGATGGAGAAGGGATTTGAATAAGGAGCAGCTTTCCCACAAAATAGCAATAGAATTAAACTATTGCACTAGGTTTTCACTTTTGCAGCGTTGACATAGGCGTCAGGTGGCCAGCTGAATAAATCACCACGCACCTCGTATTCATCATGCATTACAGCCTGTGAGAGGGAATGAGTTCAACTGAGAAATCGAACCGAGA